CATTTTCCAGACAGAAACTATATTATCCTTACATACAGGCTTGATGCTTCTGTCTATGCCCATGAGAGGCTGCTTTATTGAAAATTCCATCCATGGCCATTATTACATTTCTGTTTTACATTCTTACATATTTTTGTTCTCAACTTGGATCTGAGATTTGTAATATTAGATTTTGTCAATGAATGGAAGTAATGGCGGCCAGATTGGCAGGACGTTATCAAATATTCATGACACTTTACATGTGCTCCTGCTTGTATTTGGTTGCTTGTGTGGATTGAGGGCCTTGTAGTAGCATTGATTGACAGATGATGAGGAATAAAGCTCTGTTCTATTCCACTGTCTTCCTCTGTTGTTGCTGACAACTTTTGCTTGATTGCACAATGATCAGAACCATATTTACAGAAATGAGTCTGTGGCCTCAACTGCAACAATATAGAACTAAATATCTATGCACTTGTTGGTAAAAAAAAAAGAGTTAACCAAAAAGAGATAGATTTTCAATTTTTTTGAATGACACATCTAATTTGTGTTATATAAAACTGGATAGAAACCACATTGGAACATTCATCTTTTAGTAACCTTGAATACACAATGACCAAAGTAGAAAATGGTGGTGCAACTTAAAAAAAAAGTCTATCAGAATAATGTTATTTAAATTTTAATTTCTCAGCTTTTAAACCACACATCAAACATATTTCTCTCACAATCGTCTTAAAAAGTGCATATGACTGTATTGTGCCAATAGGTGCACTAGTACCAGAGAAAGCGCATGCCTCCTTTTTCATCTCTTTGAGGGGAAATAGGAATAAGCGCATTGTGTCCTGCACGACATTCCTGAACAAGCAGAGGTTCAATCACATTTGCAGAAGTTATCAAAACTTTCAAAGAGCTCAGCTGGTGCCTTAAGCCACAGGAAATTCACTGGGACATCTGGAGGGATGTGTGCAGATTATTGCTCATTTAGTCTGTTCTAGACATCGGTACGAAGAGGACTGAGATTGCTAAACACACGCACAGACTGGAAGATGCGCACACACAAACAGGCTTGGCTTTGGTAGATCTTACCCCAGGCACACCAAACACACCTGTCTATAATCCCCTATCATGCCCTCGCTACTCCTGTCCTGGCTCATCCAATCAGAGGACAGGTCAGGTAAAGTTTGTTTCCAACTCTTTAGCCCTGTGTTAGAGTGAGAGAATGTGAAATACAAAATATGCCGAAAAAACACAAAATCAAAAACAACAACACAATTTATTGTTCAGTCAGGGGACATTTTTTGGGGATTTTAGAATCTAGAAAAACTGTGTTCCATGGGGCTTCAAGGGAAAAAAACTGTTCAGACCAGATGGATTTATATGTATGCTACAGAAAAATCTGTATGTGAAATACTGAAAAACTGGATTAACTACAGTATGTCCACCACTTCATGAAAAAAAAAATCCAGCAAATTTTGAAACTGGCTTAAAGGTGGATAAATATAAATAAACAGATATGCAGTATAACGAGGTATCTAATATTGAGTGTTGTGAATCTAACCTCCACATTTCTGGTTTTATACAAGGGTTTATCAGGGGTATCTTTGTTTTTGATGTGGTTGAGGAGGATACAGCCTACACTGAAATGTTTTTAGGTTATACAGTACAATAACCTTTATCTACATTAATTATAGGATATAGGACTTTTTAGTGCATTGCCTTGATCTTTGTCTTTGCTCTTCCGAACTACACATATTGAGATACACATATAGATCACATAGATCTCAAATTATTCTGGGTCTTGAGAACAAAAAGGAAAAGGCCAAATATTCCCAAACCAGTGTCGCTTCATCTTTCTCAAATTGTGAAATGCAACCAGACAAAACCTCAACACCATGATAAAATCTCAGGAAATTACTTCCTTATTTTAGGTGTGATTGATTGTCCCCCTGACCTGTTAGACTGAAGAGGTGGTTAAAAAGAGGAGGCAGACTAAGATAATTGGGCCCGGTGGTATCCAAAGCCCGGCAGGTGTTGAAAGAACTCTCATAACACAGATACCTGCAGAGGCTGCAGCCCTGAACTTGAGCACACCTAGGATTTCACTACCTTGGAGGAATTTTGGTGTTTTGTGTTTGGCACATCTTTTATTGAATAGATGAAATATGAGAGATACTTGTAACTCCTATTGACATATTGGACATGCCACAAGAAAAACATGTACAGGTGTCAAAAATCCTCTGAGGTGTCAACAAATAACTGGTGCATTTTTTGTTTCATGTTTTCTTGGCATGAAAATAATGTCATTCACTCTTTGAAAGTGATGTCAGTTGTTGGAAATATCTCCCATTACAAGAGGGAGGCAATTCCCTTACCTGTTGAAAAGTAGGTAAAAGCTGACACCAACAGCAGAAGTACCAGAGATGGAATTTTGTTGAAGTGAAAAAGGGTGTTTTTACTCTTTAATTTCATTAGAGATGCACAGGGCTTCCTGTGTCCTTCTAGCCATTTCAAATGAAGAGGTAAAAGCCAGGCATAAGCTTAAATGATAACATTCTTTCTCAGAGAAAAATATGCATATACGAATCAAAGCTATTGTACTATCCTTATTAGTATCTGCAAGCCAAGGGCTCTGTTCCAATTAAAGAATACTACAGATGGACTATTCAACAAGCATGCACACAAACGAACCTACAATAGGTACAGTAAAGTACCCAGTATTACAGAGCCCAGAGAAGAGCTTTTTACTTTAAAAACTATTTAATCAGGAAAATCAATGCCTCACATCAAAGAAATGGAGATGAGGGACAGGCGGATAAAGAGGCTCATCAAAGAAGGAGATCTAGTTAGGGATTCAACGCCCTAATTCCCTTTCTCTTAAAACCTTCGTCAGAGGGGGCACAGGGCCAATTTGCTCCCTAAATGGCTGCGTGTGAATGTGCAGATTGCTTTGCATAGCCGCTGGGAATCTGGGCTTCTTCCTCTTTTTCTTCTCCACACGGAGCCAGTGAATTAGAAAAGATCCAAAGACAGATAGGCTTAACGGAGCCCTAGCTACCTTCCTTAAGTCCAGAGCCCTGTTCCAACTACCAACTAATTCAATCCATGGCCTAACTCAATTAATAGACTTTAATGCACTGTTTCTTCTTTATCTATTCTCTTTCCTGGGGATTGGGGACGGGAGTTGTCGAGTAATATCTGCAAAAAGGTTTGGATTGTAAGTCTGTCTGAATGTTAAGACAATGACATGTCCCAGTGGCATTAGGGTTGATCATATATGCATCCTTAATCTCAAACATCTCCTTAATCTCGCTTTATGAGACTCACCGTACATTAATGTAATGTAGTGCATAAAATATTGACAACCAGTCTTTCCCGTCTCAGCCTTTATATGCATTGCTCCAGGATTCATTAGTCAAAATGTCCTTGATGTGAGAGAGGAGCTTCGAGTATCCACGTGATGAGCTGTGTTTTTTACATAATGTCAAACCAATCATCATCTTGAAAACTCCACCTCAAGGTGCGCATTTTGTTAAAATCCAAAGAGGGGTTGTTTCAATATTTCTATATGTGCTTTAAACCATACAATTCATCAATCTTGGACTTGCATTACCTCCAAGGACATATATTCTATCACATACACTCTGCAGAACTGCGGAAGTTGTAAAAGAAATAAAGATAGCAACGGTCAGCCCTGCCACTCCAACCACACAGTATTCTTCAGGGCATTCATGCACCTAATGAGGACAAATATTTCATGCTTTATCCTCTCTGCTCAACGGAAACATTAACCCCGTCTGAGTGAAAACGTGTGTATGTCTTTCTGAGCCAGTAGATCTGAGACCAGCTCTCCGCAATAGGCTTTCTATCACGCCTGCAGTTCCGATTGATCGTCTCAGCAATCAGCAATTAAACCCTAGTGATGAGAGCGGGAGAGGGGAGGAAGGGGGAGGGAAGGAGAGGTGGGAGGTAGCCCACCCCCCCCACCCTACCCCACTCCTCTCGTCAGCCCAGGAAAGGCTTCACTCAGCTGGGGTGTGTTTGGCCTGGGGCTGGGCTCACTGGTGGAGGTTAACTCCAGCATAAATAAGCATCTTTGGACTCATTACAGGGATTAGAGAGTAATTCGCCTGCGAGGAAGGAGACGACTGCCAGGGTTTTGGTACAGTTTACTACAGTCTTATAGGGGCGAGGGCCCTAGAGATTACAGAGGGAGAGAGATGGAAAGGCAGCAAAAGAGAGAAAGGCCAAGGGAAAAGAGAGGCTGGCTGTCAAGTCTGTGCGTGTGTGTGTGAGTCAATCCAAGCCCCCGGCTGCCCCCTTGATCTTGAGCATGTTGGGGTGCTGTGAAAATGGATAATGGGAGTTAGAACGACCAGGCCTGTCTAGAGAGAAGTGTGCTGATTGTTATAACTTTCCCTCATCTCTCTCTCCTCCACTTAACTAAATAAACACCCAAGAGGTAGCACTCTATCAATTTTAATGATGTTGAAATACAATTTAGGCACAAAATACACAACAAATGCTAATTTGGCAATGATGAGAGGCATCAGAAATTCCTCCCATTATTTATTCAGCTGACTTTCTGCATTTTTCATCAGAACAAATATTCCCATTTCAACAAACACACACACACACACACACACACACACACACACACACACACACACACACACACACACACACACACAAAGGTTAAATGTTATTTGAAGAAATAATAACAATGATATCACTGCCCACCATCAGAGAGGTCAGAGGTCAGAGGTCAGGGGTCAGGGGTCAGAGGTCAGAGGTCAGGGCGGACAAACCTTGCTCCTGTACTTCTGGTGTCCCAGTCTGAACTTGGCGTAGGGGTCACTCAGGCCGTTGGGGTCCATGGGGATCAGGTTCCGACCTTCGATCAGCGCGATGCTGACGATCCCTCGCCACAGCTGCGACTTCCGATGCAGCTCTGAGAGACGTAATGACTGCTGCTGCTGGTCCACACAGACAGACACACACACACACACACACACACACACACACACACACACACACACACACACACACACACACACACCCAATTTGGAGCATAAATCAACACGTTCACTCATCAAATATATGCTCTGTGTGGTTCTCGGTAGTCTGTCCAGTGCACCAAAGACAAATAGTTCTGTCCAAAGTCCAGCTGGAGAAACAGAAGGGGCAGAGGATTGTCAATATATGCACACATACATTAAACATAGCAGGTCGATGTGTGTTCAGAAAAGACAGACATCATAAAGACTGAAGTCCAGTCATAAACTCACACACGACTACCCTCAAAAAGGAGGGCTGTTGACAACACAGGGACTGTTAAACCCTTTTCTTCATGTTTTCATATCAAAATATGGTAAACTTTATGATAAATTAGCATAATAACATGAGTGGTTAGTCATGAGCCTGTTCACTCTATGTGTATTCAATCTGTACAGCTATAAAATTATAACACATTTTAATTTCAAAAAGTCCATGTAATTTCAAAATAAATACAGTCGTAGCTGCTTCTTCATATCATTGCCTGCCAGTCATCTCCACCTCGATCTTGACTGGCTCAGGTTGTCCTGCTTCTGCACCACATTTGGGACAGGTGAGGCAAGCGTCTGCAATGATGTGGCTTTTGATGCAGTAGTAGCAGAAAACATGTTGGCAACCCACTGTATGAGGCATGGTCGGCCACTCTCCGCACAGCCCGCACTCTTTCCACACCCCGTGCACGTCTCTACCTCCCTCTCCATCAGCACTTCCTCCCCCAAAAACAATCGAATACACTGTCGCCTTCAGTTTCCTTGTATTGATCAGTGGTAACAGGAAGATGAGGAACTCAGCAAAGCCATGCCACAGCAGCTCCCGGTTCATGTACTGGTAGGTTATGTCCCGGACAACATTTGGCTTGGTGAAAACTGCCTGAGCTCCCACAATCCTTTCAGCCAGGACAGGATGGCAACCTTTCCTTAGGAACACAAGGAAGTTGATGAGACTTGCGAGCTGGGCAATACAAGAAATAAGATTCAGGCAACTACGGAGACCCTTTTGGAGCAAACCACTGTCTCTTTCAGACACGGGTCCTCCTGTATTCAAACCCAAGCACAGCAGCAGGCTATGGGAACGCTCTTTGAGCCAGCAGGGGCCTGCGGTGAGCAGGGCCAGACCCAACTTCTGCCTGCGGGACAGAGGTCTGTAACGGGGAGAGGAGGAAAAAGTGTTGTTGTAGTGCAGGCTCAGTAAAGACTGGCCCACTGTGGCGCTGCTAGAAAACAGTGTGAACCTCCACAGGAGCAGCTGGAGCAAAGCCCTCAGCTCAGGCTCCAGAGGAGTGAGAAGGCCAGGGCGGCAGTTCTGGAAACACTGGGAGAACTGGGTCCATACCAGCTGCTCAAGGGCTGAGTCTAGCTCGAGGGCATCCAGCTGGCTGATGCGCAACACCGGGGTCTGCAGCTCATCGCCAGTTTCTGGACCAGAGCGTCCGGCTGTCCCTTTTTGGTTTTCCTCGCTTACCAAACCTGCTGGAAAAATATATAGGGATATATGAGTTAATCATACTTTTCAAGTGACTCAAATTTTGCGGTTTGTATATCATGCACAAAAACATTCAACAACATTGAGATTATTAGTTTGTTACAGGCTGAATTTTTATTTTATTTTTCTAGATGCTGATAAAATAAGAAAAAAAACCTCTTTCTGCTGAAGTGTATACGTGCGCAAAAGAGACAAATGAATACTAGGAATGTTAAATTAAAATATGGGCAACACCATACTTGATCTATAGAAGTTATGAACATGAACAAAATATGGACAGAGGATCATATATTAAAAGGACAGCTCGGTTGCTGGAGGAATGAGGCCCCGGAGGTGAAGCCCATCCTGTTAGGAAGGTTATTTTTTCTTTATACATAGGAACGGAAATCACTTTTCACATGTAAAACCCGTCCTTAATGCAACCTTTGAGCTGCGCAATGCAGAGGAGCAGGGGGTCTTAGACTGCTCTCTCCAGTGTATAAACACACACAACCCAACACACACACACACACACACACACACACACACACACACACACACACACACACACACGCACACGCACACACACACACACACACACACACACACACACACACACACACACACACACACACACACAGAGGAGGCAAAGCCCAGGGGCTCTTGGTGCCTGCTCCCTCTGGAGATAGGGGTGTGTGTACAAATCACATCACTAGGGATTAGGCTAACGGCACAGTCTCTGGTACACCGTAAACATCTGCCAAATGTGGAACAATTTTCTTCCCCCCTAGAGTTGACTCCATATGGGATCTCACCATTGCGACGCCTGGACTATTTTGTGCTGCATACGTTTCCAAACTGCTCACAGTTCCCCCAGTTTTATCTGCCCTTTCCTCAAATGAAACGCTTAAGAAGTGGAAGACTAACTAACGCAAGGAGAGACAGAGCAAGAGGGCCACAGAGAGGCCCTATTTTGACAGTGGCTTGAGTGTCTCGCTGAACAGGATTTGTCACAAGGCTTTAAAAGAGATTTCAGCTTGGTAAATATGGCAGTTTTGACATAAAGAGAGAAAGATGATGGTCACTTTAGACGTTTCTCGAGGAGGTAAAAAAAACATTCTAATATATGATGGCAGTGCTTGGGCTTATTGTGGTGCACAGGACCATCTGTGTATTCATGATGTTTCAATAGAGCCAGGGTACACCGTCCAACTAAGTTAGAATTAGCAAATGAATGAAAAAAGAGTGAATTCACGCTGAAGTAAGCAGGTGTGACAAATTCATTGAGCTGCATTTGAAATGCTGCCATGTTTAGTGACTAGAACCTCGCCTGTGATGGAAGTAGAGTTTGGATTAATAAAAAAAAAGAGAGGTAGTCTGAATGTGTATGCTAACCAATAAACAGGCTCCATTTGTTTAGCTTAATCTGAAAGTTTTTACTTGATGGGAGAAAATGTGCAGATTATGTGCCTTTGTGTGTGTATGTGCCTGTGTGTGTATGTGTTTATGAGTGCATGTGTGTGTGACTATATGTATGTCAAGGGTAGCCTTGATCTATGCAGAGCTCTAATACAGAGCTAAATTAATCTATCAGTCCATAGTTACACACAAACATCGCACACACACACAGCCAGGTGGTGGAAATCCCTGTCACAGCAGCAGCCCTCTCGGGAAAGTAAACCCGGCCGGGTCCAATATTCTTTTCAAAGCCTTTTATCGAGCAGTTTACAAGTTATGAATGAATATGTTTTATTTGGGCAAACACGGTATTGACAGCCACCTATCAATAGTAATGTGACTATTGTCAAGGGTCTGTCAATATTAATGTAATTATGATGTAGAGGGATCAGAGGGATGCCGGAGTCGGGGGCCAAGTAACATCTCCTGCCCACTGCCATATCAATAGCTGGGATTGCTATTGACAGCTTCCCTTCAGACTTGCAGCACTTGGCAAATATATAACAAGCAGACACTTCAGTCAATGCTGGGCTGCCTATAAAAATTAAGCATTTGAATTTACAGGGCTTTTACCGCGGACAGCTGGAAATCCATGTTTCTTATGTAATAGTCAAAAGTCACAGTCAGTGCAAGTGTTTACAGAGTACTGACATGGTGTGTGTTAGAGGACAGACAGTACAGCATTTGCACACAAAACGTATACAGATACAGAGATACAAACTGACAGACGCCTTCTCTGATGTATACACACACACACACACACACACACACACACACACACACACACACACTCACACACACACCCACTTGATATATTGATAATTCTCTCCCGGGTCAGACAACAAACTGACCCACAGACAAAATGTCCTCTCTTGCCGAATTGGCAACTGAAAACTAAAAGCAGGTTAGAGGAGTTCACTGAAAATCAACAGAAAAATCACCTGAAAAGTCTGGGGTCTTGCGTTTCTATCGGAGCTGTATAAAATAGTTTAAAAACATTTTCCTTGGAATATTAAAGGGTATTTTGATTCAGGCAAGATGAGAGTTTTTTTCCTCCCCTTGTTCCTTTAGCCTGTGCATCTTGTTCAGACAAAGATAATACTCTGACTCAAGGCTGACTGCCATAGCTTACAGACTACAACAACAACAACAACAACAACAACAACAACAACAACAACAACAACAACATCCATTCTAACTGGAAACACACAGTTACATCGCTTCAAGGCAAATGGGTGCCATGACCAGTGTGAGGAAGGAGAGACGAGGCAACAAAAGTCTACAGAGCATCAGACTGAAGCCTTGCAGCTGTACCGGGTCCTCTGAAAACTAGAAAACGGACTGTAATGACAACTACTCAACAGAAAGACAGATCGACAAAGAGACGGAAAAAGAAGACCAACACGTCAGACAACACGTCATGAAACCCCCAGCTGGGAGCTCTGAGCTACTGTCTACTGATACAGTGAAGAAAAGAAACTGGGGGCAAAGATAGCTGAGGAGAAAAAATGCGGGAAGGGAAAAAACAGATAAGCACAAACCTCTCCCTAGGAGCTGACCTTCATACTGACGGTCACAATAAAGGAGGAGGGAACATTCCCGAAGCATACATGTCTCAGCTATACTGAGGTGCGGGCATCCAGGGAATAGCCTATAGACAGAGGAAGGCTGCACTTTCTTCTTGACCTTGGCTTTGGTATCTAGGGATGGTATGAGGGTGTTTAGGGCAGGGGACTAAAGACTGGGGGATTCTAGGAAGGTGGAGTGTCTCTAGGGGATTGCATTTTGCTTTTTCTGCAACAGACAAATGCTCTGAAGCCACTCACAAAGCTACTGAAAGTTGGCAGTTGGAAACTGTGTGGCCAAAAGTCTCGATTTAGCTCCTGGCATGGTGTAGTGCTCAAATTCCTAAGCACTTATCTATGGTTGTTAGCATGATATATTCGCTGAAATAATGCATAAACGTTCACTTGGGTTTCTATGATGCTTGTAGTGAGAAATAGGCGATGTACTGGCAAAGCATGCTGGATTACAACTTTACATTTTCTTCTCTTGCTCATGTAAATTAATTTGTGTAAAAGCTGCGGTGGATAAAACCTATTTCTCAGAGCAGTCCAGTCTCATTTTTTTCTCTCTCCCGCCCCCTCACTTTATTGCCCTTCTTTCGCCTGGAACGAGCGCGAGCCTATTAGCCAAGGCCTGCTAATGTCCTCACCATGAAAACGGATGAGAATGTCAGATTTAGAACTTTTAAGACAGTGATGTCATACAGCAGACCACAGGCATTACAGGGACGCTAAGATTACCCAGGCGGTAACCAGACTAATTGTTATGAGTCTGTTTCATGAAAAATGAATGTGTGCAAATGCACAGAGGGGTCTTCAGGCTGTGTGTGTGTATGTGTGTCACACACTAATGCTTTATCAAGGCTCTCTTCTCTCTCTAATCACCCAAGACTCCTCCGAGCCATGGGGTAAGGGCCAAGTTAATGCCTGAACAAAAAAAAAAAAAAATACACATCAGTTAGAACACCACATCTGACACACAAAAATCTGCTCTGCTTAATCTGGTTTGCTCAGAAGGTAAATTATTTAAGAGAATTAATTGATTTCGTGAGTACGAAGGTTGAGTATGCTAAGGCTGTATGAGTAATAAGTACAGGGGTTTGCAAAAAACAACTTAAAAAGTCATGAAACATTTAGAGGCCAGAGAGGCACAATGAACGTGGAAGAAAAAGCGGAACTAATAAATGAGAGAACTGAAGTTGTGTCTTTCTTAGGAGTCAATGAGAAAGTACTGGGGCCTCACCTCATGCAAATAAAATGTGTTATCCTGAGGAATATTTGATCAGCACATTTCTTCGCTTCTCTTTATGCATGAATAACATAGTGTTAATAAAAGAGGAAACATTTTGCCTGCTTTTTTAATCTGTGTAGCAATTAAATTGTGTGTAGAAGTGGAAAATTCTAAACTGAGTGGGAGCTGTTTCTTTGTCCCCTATAAAATCTATGAGAATATGCAGGATGAGAGATTCAAGCAGCTGCTAGAACAGATAAAACCTGCTGATACTAGTTTTAGGAATTCCTCTTTGATATGTATCTGTGAATCAATTTGGAGAATTGGACTGCTGCAAAATTATAGCCCTAATGACATTTTGACATGTTATACTTTCATCTCAATTTGGAAGTTTAATGCATTGATTTCCTGCAAAAATAAGAAAATAATGTGCCTTCTGGCAATGTACAGCTAGTGCAATGCAAATATGGAAAAAATACTGTGATGCTTAAGAGATAACTGAATATGATGTAGACTTTATCAAAATTAATTTTGCATACTGGATGCTAAGAAAATATCATACATTGCTTCTTCGTAATAACAGTTTTATATCTGCCAGTTCCTATCAGTATATTACCATATGTAAAACTGGCAAGTAAAAAACAAAAAAGAAAAAAGAAAACAACAACAAAAAAAACAACAAAATAGACAAAAAGAAGAGAAAAATTACGATTTGATGACACATTATCCATTAAAATGCATTATAATTGCTGATTACAGCTTCTAAAATGTGAAGATTAGATTGCTTTTCTGTTTCTTATCATTTTAAATTGAATACCTTTGGCATTGTTGGTATGAAAAATAGAACCCTTAATTGTACCCTGGGGTGGAATTCTTTCCAAGTTTGCAGATAACCCCACTGCCTTTATCACTTGTCTTCATCTGGAAACTGTATAAAATGACCTTATGACCCCAGAGTGACATCACAGCCCAATCTAACTTCAGTGACTCCCTTAAAAACACACTCATTACACTAAGTGTTTCGTTCCAGAGACACATGACTACACTTCACTCTCATGCAATCAGATGGTCTACATTCTCTTCATAATGCATTGTCTCTTAATTTTTTAGCTTGTGCCCATCAGTCTTTAACAAAAACAAAACCCAAATCTGCTCCATTTTGATAATAAGGCAAGAGCATTATGAGATAATCATAGTGGGGATTAGGTTTTGGCAGAGTGTGTGAAAGCAGTGAAGTCAAAGCCACTGGAAAAGAGAGATATAACCAAGAGGCAGATAAGAGTACAGGAGTGATGATTGGGATGAGAGAAATGAAGTGAGTTCTCACTTGAAAATCAATAAGATCAACTTTGCCTTGAATCTCAGTGTGGAAAGTTTTGATCTCTGGCACTGATTATTTAGGGGAATAATGGAATTATGTGCAGAGCAGTGGATACATACTCTTGAAGGAATACACAGCCACAAGGTTACCATCCAAAGTTGCAGTTGGCAAATATATCTGGACAAACTCACATTGAATACTAATTCACAGTTGTTGGTCGTTTGAACCATATGCACAATACACATCGATATACATCAGTAATGGAGTTGATTTTAAATGCAAACACAAGGAAAAAAGGAGCATATAGCGCTTTAAAAACACAACACTGACAGTACTCAGAAACACGGAGGTGATAAGGAAGGACCACAAAGACTTTACACCGTTTAAACGAAGCAGACATGCCGCATTTGAGCTTCCAGTGGAAACACGAGGGTATTCAAGAAAATAGTGTAGACATTAATGTTTTTTAAGCAACATAACGAATATATATTTACCCATTTCTTTTCAGGTGAGGGGTGAAGTCAGTGCAACCCAGTCTTCCCTGATACGAAAACAAACAGTATTTCCGGGTTGCAAAAATTCATCCCGCCTCTTAAAGAAAACTCACCAATGGTGTGCAGATACGTCACGATTACAAATCCCGTGGTCAAAATTAGCCAATCGGATCTTCCAGCGCCAAAGCAGCGGCAAACTGCAGGGGTAAGCGTCTGGAAGTAATGTATTCACAACCTCCGTTGTAGTAACAACACATAGCGACCGAGTTATCGGTGAAGCCACGGTAATTCACATGAAGTAACACAGATAACGTCTTACATGCACTCAAAATGCCAGGCATTGACTTTCTGCGGGTTGGTCTTCAGTGGTCTAATCATGTAAACTACAGGGCTGTTCAAAAGTTTAACCACAGTGGAGAACCGTGATAATGAGTGTTACTTAGCGTTTGTTAGCTTTCTCAAATTCAGCGGTTTGTTTCATAAACAACACGGGTAATGGTGAAAACTTGCTTAAGAATGAGCCAAAAGACAACAACACCAGAGCCAGGGAAAAACTCGAAGCTGTCGGGACAGGGAAGGGATACTTTGAACCTACCATCTCCCTCAGGAGAAGTACAGCTGAAAGTTGCCATCCAAAGTCCTGAAACTGAGACAACCAACGTGAAACAGCTTCTAAACGAATTCATAGGACTTTACGAACAGAGGTTGAGATGGCTGGAACTAGACCCCACTGTGACCCGGGAGGAGCTGCTTCAGGTGAGGAAAGATTCTTTACATAACACATTAACACGGTAGCGTGGCCGAGCGGTCTAAGGCGCTGGATTTAGGCTCCAGTCTCTCTGGAGGCGTGGGTTCGAATCCCACCGCTGCCATTATAGCTAATTATGACTTGAAAGTGTGATAAGTTACCTCAGGCAGGGTGAAACATCAGCTTAACCCTGTGTCACATGTTTGTTAGTTCATTGTAACCATGAAGCATCCCGGGACGCTTCTCCTGATGTATGTTCACATCAGTGTTTCCCTTACATATGCTTTGCTTGGGCCAGGGCAGGTAAAATCACTTGCTTTCACCATAGGTAAGTTTTACATTAGAGCGCCTTATTTTACTCTTTTCAAAGGAACAAATTTTTGGCCACACACCTGTTTGACTTTGGACAAGAGGCTTCTCTTCATGCAGCCACGTGAGGCGTTCAGAGAACAGAATAAATAGCCTGTGTTGTACTCCCTCCCCTCCCCCTGCAACTTCCAGGGCTGAAAAATTAAGCCAACATGGAAGTGCCAAAAACAGTTCCTCGAATGGCCACTTGAGGCGGCCCCAAAAGTGAGTAAATCCCCATACACTCACACTAAAATGTCCAACTTTACAGCATGTTTACAGCCTAGAACAAAGAACGGTTTGGGTCTCTAGCTAATTTCCCCCTTCATGACCAAGGCACATGGGGTGAATTTTTATACAAGTCACCTGTTTAAATTTTGTTAAGGCTTAAAGTTAAGCATAATTGAGGATGTGGTTGCTTGGGTGACCAGTGGATGCTGTCACATTTGGCTAGTTACTCGGTGTCTAGCCATTACCTCAGCTAATTCAAGTCACTTAACGTGACATCTCGGCTATGTATGAGGTGTTGGAGCCTTTTGGAGGATTTTTCATGCAAACATCGGACAAATAATATGGCTTATTGTGTGGTTAATTGACTAGCTAACGTGAGGAAGTCTGTGCTCCTGTTTTTTGAGGTGAGTGAAATTCTAGTGATATTTGATTTATATGTTTGCTCTAATTAGCATGTGTTGGTGTCTACGCTCACCATGCTTGGCTCGTTACTGTAGCTTGTTAAGTAGCTAATTAGCAAGCAAATTAATTAGCCTTGGGTTAGCCTTTGAGCAAAACGCCCAGCTGTGCTAATGATGCTAATGGGAGCATATGCTTGCCACAGTTATTAAACTAGCATGCACCGAAGTCTCGGAGTCAGGCACTGCTAAGATGGTGACAGGGGAGCAGCTCAATCTAAGCTTCAAAACTGCTCTTCAGAAACCTATAGGTGATGTCACAGAAGCTACTCCCATCTTTGCATACAGTCTATGGTCTCTGAATCCATATTGGCCATGTGCTGCGCTACCCACCAGGACAAGAAAATTCTCATCCTGTCAGAAACATTGCACTTTTGTTGGGTCTGCTTCAGCTAATTCAGGTCACTGAAAGGACAGTGTCTGATCAGACATGATCAAATAAAGATACTGTATCTTGTAAATCACACCGTTGCTCATTTTACTGGGGAAACATCAGCCTACTCAGGAGGACCCTGGACCCTGGATTGTATTCATGGGTCCAGTCGGGTTTTTTAAAAAAAGCGTTATTGAGGACAGCATTTAGAACCAAAGTCTTTACAGGATGTGTAGTCTTCTGCCGACATCTATTGTCATTAGGTTAACATCCATCCAATACAAATCAAAGAGCATCCTGTCCACTGTGACTCCGGCATCAGAAGATGACCTCTGTCCTGTCAGACAAATGACAGTAGGAAGCACAGGGGTGCTTTCATAAAGCCGCAGCACTTGTAACAGGTGGCAAATTGCATTATGTTTCCATCTAAGCGGCAGAGATCAGGAACATAGATCCACACTCATATTTAAAAAAGAGAGGTTTCTAATCATCAGGATTGTGATGTGACATCATTTAGGTACAGAATGTAGCCTGTGTGAGCTGAGCTTTGCATCAAAGCAAGTGTAACAAGGTTTCAGAGATGGGTTTCAGTTAGCCGGCCCCAGTTGAGGGCCTGCTTAACAAGGTTATGTGTTTAGAACCCAGGAGCTCCCAAGTCCGAAGGTTGATGTGGGCAGTTAATCATAAAGCTTGTCCATTGAAAACACAATGCCCATTCATCCATGAACCCACTCTACGTTTATGATGTTTCCATGTTAAAACACTTGAACAACCTCCCAATTAAAGAATTCATATAAACATTTTTTTTCTTCTGCCTGGGTGCAGTCACCATTAATAGGAATTCCTCTTTGTTCCAAAGCTGCAAAACATGAAACCAACATGCCATTGAGTTTTATATAATGGCAACATTTTCAGTTTCACATTTTAAAATATGTTAAAAAAATGTTAACTTGGAAATGTTATCTTAGATACTGTCACATCTACCATCTTTGTAAAGTTACTCTCCCTGAAGCTATACAACCCTGTTATATTTTGTGTCAGGGGATGGTATAAACTGCCTGTTGACTTTTTTGGCTGTAGGGGACAACTGTTTATGCAAACAGATGTACAGGTGCTCCTCCAGGACAAAATGATTCTGAATTTCAGTGGCTCTGCAATCATTGTATGTGTTGGGTATCTGGCTAACTGTACAATCCCTTTAAGGGATAGGGGCACATGCAAGTCTTCTAATTGAGATAAAAGAATGATCTGAGAGGCTGTACTGAAGAATTGCGCAGATGTAATATATATATATATATATATATATATATATATGTAAATACACTTGAACTTAGAAATATGTGCATTCTTTCAGTCACAAAGCAGCAACAGTGAATAGCATATTTCTGAGCCTGTCCTAATCCCTGACAAACTACCTCCTCTTGCCTACTCATGAAGTGTTCCTTTCTAATAATACAGTTCAGAGGTCATTTGTTGTAAATCCCATGTGCATTGCTACGTGAAAGCCAAGAGTATCTGATCTCCTTGTCTGGCAGGACTAGTCTTGTATAGCGGTTTTCGGAAGTAAAACAATGTTTTCAATATCAAAACCATTGCATTACTCCTCAATGATTAACACAAGAAATTGAAGTCAAGAATAAACCCATGGTTATAATTCAATATGTAATTGACTAAATGGTGGTAGAGCGAGTGACAGACGGCTGTTAGATGGTATCTTTATAGATCAGCAGTGGATTTCAGGATTTCACCACCACCACCACAGTTACAGGTCAGTTGGCTTCAGATGTGTATTTTTGACCCAAAATAAAAGAATCACAACCTGCCCTATGAGACTATTGACTCTCCACCCAGTGTAGCTTCCTTTTAAATAAAACATAAACTATCATATTGTGTTGTCCTGGTTATCTGGGGATCTGTCACATTTCTCTTGTGAGGCTATCATTGGAAGCATTTAAGTCCCTGTTTTTCTGTTTATTAATTCACTGATTTTGCCAGTAGGAGAACTACATTAAGTTAATTTGCAATAGTGACCTGTTATCCCTAGCAACCTTTTGTCCTGATACAGGAAAGTGTGTGATATTGTTATTGCATTGTAACAAGTTGCAAGGAGGGGGCAGTTAGGGGGCAATGGGAGGGTGTATTGCTTGACTTCAACACTGTAGACTGTAGGTTGGTGTCCCTACCCATGCTGTAATTCAGCATTAGCTTTTTGACTATTTAATATTACACCATGACCATATATTTTAGTTGCCTAAACATAACTATAAATTGATGATCATGATCTAGTTGCCATGAAAAACAAATGGAAAAACTTTGTCAGCGAGCATTTTGCAGATATGTTTCCTATTAATATTCTGTTGATACGTTAATAGAGAATGCAATTATGTTTCCCCCAAAGCATATCAAACTAATGCAAAACAGTTGTATATAAATGTAATCATTAAGGAAAACAACTGTTTTTTGTCAGTCAGTGGCCCATATGATTGAACATAATTTGTGGTGCACAAATTATGTGTTTACTGCTCTTTTGCTTTAAACATGGATTTTGTTTTTCATTTATTTGACTGATTTAACAAAGTAAAACAATTTGTATCATAGAAAAACACTGCATGGTTCTACTGTCGTCTTGTTACACAGCAAATAAACCACAGTTTGATCCTGCTGTCCTGTTATTCTTTCAGAAGAAAGAGGATTTCCTGCGATCTTATGTGAATGACCTCACAGACCAGACCCAGGTGCTGGTTCAGACCATTGAGGATCTTCAGATGGAAGCTTCCAATAAGATGGGAATGAAGCTACACACCTCTGATTGTATCTTGGATGTAAGGTTTTCTAAGTGCTTTTATACCATTTTGTTGTAATGACATAGTCAGTAAATAGTAATGCGACAAAGGGTTTCAATA